TTCAATCTGGGGCTGGCACTTGCTTATAAAGTTTATAGAGCACAAGCTAAACTACATTGGATTAACAAACATTTACTTAGTCCTAAATCCACTCATATGTTGCTGAATACTCTTAATGTAACATATTAGTATTTACGCAGAAACAAAAATTATGTTCGACTACGCTTGGTAAATACAAAAGTTTTCACGTCTTTTTGTAAGCTTTGAAAATAACCGAGAAATCAAATTTGAAAATGACAAAAATCATCCAGAGAGAACCATGAGCTTGACCAAACAAACATATTATGCCGCATCGACTTACAATTAGAAGTTTTAAATTCCAACATTCTACTGCCGGTACATTTTTAGTAAGTACTTAACCGCAGTTATGAATTGGTCCCTTAGCTTAGGTCATACTGGGAATTTTTCTGAAATGTATACCTTAGGGCTATGTACATATACTTAGAAAATTATCAAAGTCCTCGTGTGAGACCGAAGGGACTTCAACTCATTTTTGTGTGATATATCAGTGTTTAAATAGCCAGTGTTGACTCCACCATCAATAAATGATCTTGTTGAAGGCTACCACATTCACTTTGCCGGTACCCGCTTCCCACTTTCCGCGTGCACCCGCAATTCGCTTTTAAAGTTTTAACTCCACCATCAGTTAGATCTTGTCGGAGGCTACCACATTTCCTTTTTCGGTGCATACTTATATCAAAGAGAGTTACTCTTTGCTTAATTTACTTACTTAATTTTTGGTGCACTTCTCATTGCTCGAGCTTCTATTGGCGACACGAGAAAGAGAGACAGCGATTCGCGATTTACGAAACGTTAAAACGCCTGACAAAATTCGCAACGGAAGGTAAAAGGTGCCCGAAGTTGACTATCTCTTGAAGACGCGCGCGCGCCTCGCTTAAGGTCGTTAATTTCGCCCATAGGACAAAAACCAAAATTCCACCACGCAGGAGTTGTGCGCGTTGAAAAGATCTTTCCGATGACACCAATATGAAAAGAATTGGACCAAAACTGTAGTAGAAGATAGGAAAAGCTTTCACGTTAGTAAACTACGCTCGAGGGTGACGCCCAGATGTTGCCAATCCCACATCATGTAGCCCTGTCCATAAGGTTGACAAATTACACGTACACCCGTTGCCTTTCTACAAGAGTTCTTCTACGCGCCCACATTTGCTGCCAGCCAGTCAGCCAACCAGCCAATGTGAGATTAAAAGCTACTTTTTACAAATAAATTTGCAAAATTGCGCTAAAAAACGGATCAAATGCATGGAATGTTGCTGTAATAGGCAACCAACTCTACAAGAAGTAGTTTTAAATGATAATCCGGGTGTACTATGGAAACAGTAACTTGATTATTCGTCAAATTAGGCTATGAAGGTTATTGCTCACTAGAGCGAAGCGTGGTGAAGCGACGCGAAGCGCACGGCAGCGCAGCGGAGCGCATTTCCGTGCCTATACGCACATAGAGCGCGCCGCACCGAAGCGACGCGGAGCGGCACTCTGTCATCTGTTATCCTAATCTTCATTTTACAATTGTGTTCTCTGATGAGGAAGATGCGTTTATAATTTCCGCTTTAAGGCCGTCGCACACTGATGCGCGGCGCGGCGAAGCGCCTTTTTCGTTAACATTGGTTTTATACGGCGATATCCCCGCGCCCCGCTACGCTCAAGTGAGTGTTTGCCTATTTAAATCAATGTGACCGAAAAAGGCGCTCCGCTGCGCCGCGCGACGGCCTTTATGCGAAGCAACAGAAAAAGGCCGATTCGTTGCGCTGCCGATGCCGTTCGCTACTCTTCCGAAAAGTGTGCGCACTCACATATAACATCCGTTCCGCTGCGCTTCGCTCTAGTGAGCCGTGAGTGGTACCCTTTAGTCTTTAATTCTATTAGCATCAAATTGTGATTTTTTACCCAAAGATGTATAGCAAAAACTATAAGGTTGAAATATTAACACGATGGCACGGTAGTAACGGTTGAAGAACTGTAAGACCTCTCCAGTTCGTCAGTGTAATGTTGGTTGCCTACAGTCATCTGTTCCATGTCGTGAGACTATATATAGAGTATCATTGAATTATATGTATACCTAGTTATAATTCAATGCTACTATAGTCTCATGATTCCATGCGTTTGACCCGTTTTTTTTTCAAGTATACATAGCCCATATGTATACATTTAACAAAAATTTCCTGTATATACATAATTATAGCCTCCCATAGTATAAACATTTTCCTTCACATTGGCCGGTTATTAGCATCACAACCGTCTATAATTACAAGCCATGCTGTGAAGTTTGGGAACGTTGTCCGAAAGTGAATCGGAAGGCCGATTAAAGTTTTAATGGCGTCTTATTGCTCTTGAAAAATGGTATTTTTCCTTTCTCCTGTGTTCCGTCACCAGCGGTACCCAACCGATCAGCACCGCTACCGCTGCAAGGCTAGCAGACGACGACGGAAGACGAATTCCGCCGACACGTCTGATACGGACACTGGCAACGAAACCGCAACAAGCATTCAAGCGGCATATTGCTATTCAAATATCGCGGATTCAGTCCCACCTATTCCATCAAAATCCGGGGTAAGGGATAGAGTCACAGTAACAACACCTTCCTCGTCACTCCGAAGAACATGCAGAGTGCTTCCAAGATATACATCACGGACATGCTCTACTGCTGCTGTCGTTTGAAGGTAGAAGCTTTCCGCACCAGCCGCCAAATGGCGCAGTGTTTCGCATGCTAAGAATTCGTCCACTTTAGCGTCAACTGCGGATTTGCACCCCAATGCGTTCGTTGTGCTAAAAACCACCTAGCGGCGAACTGCTCTGGAGCCCATACCGCCAACTACCGTGGTTTTCCAGTCTACCTTTCCGCGGCGACCAAACAACACATACCTACTCCACCACGAGCCATTTTGCCACCAGGAAGTAACACCCGAGCATGCTCCCACTGTCATCTCTCGTGTGGTCGAGAGATCGGCCACACCCTCCACTTCCGAAGACTAGGTCTTCGAATGGCACACCGTCAAGAAGAGTGGAAAGCGGCTTAAGAAAAAGAATAGCGCTCCCACGACCACGCAGCCAACGCCACCAGCGCCAGCGCATTAACCACATCACAACCCCTCCAGCACACGGGGTCCACATACAATTTCATTCGAGAGGACTTCGCCGGCATCATCCAACATTGCATCAATACCACCATCGAAGTGGCAGATCCGCATCACCGCCTGAACATCATTGGACCTTCCACTATCAGAGACGTTCTCGGCAAACAGACTGTAGAAACGTTTTCATGGTAGCATCAGCAGTCGTATCCCTAATCATACTGGGACAACTGTGGCTCCGTAGCTACACAGTGTGACCCTGGATTATGAAAGGGGCTGCGTGCATTGGAGAACGAGACAACGCCAAACCAAACACTGGTTCCAAAACTTCAGCCCGCCAATGACGTTTACTACGAAATGTCGCCTGACCTGGTCTACTACAGTCAGAGACTTGCTATAAATTTATAACTAGACTGCGCCGTTGAGTGAAAAGTAATAAGAGACGCAACTTGATCAATTTATATGAGGCTTGTGCGGGCACCGACAAATAGATGCGCCAGTTGTCAAAAGGCACCGAGATCACAGAGTACTTGACTTTTATTCGGTGCCGAGGCCCCGAGATGTTTCAGTGACGTGATTGATTGGAAAGTGTTTGTGATGACGTCACGACAGGACTGCCAAATAAACAGCTGATGGAAATAAAACAATTCATTCACAAATTCATTTTTAGTGCGCGTTTTGCAATGGCGTTTTGTTTCCGATTTCCCTTTTTAGTGTTACTGTCGTGGATGTCCACATGATTCAAGACGGGAAACGTGCAGTTGTTCCGATTTCCAGCAGAAAATAAACAATTTTACAAGTGGAAAAAGATGTGCAGGTAAGATCTTTGAAACCCAAAGCCCTATTTGTACGCCAAATGATAGTTCAGAAAATAATAAATACTCTTCTCTACAAAAGTTTATTACTCTTTACTCACCTTGCACAATATTAATTGTAGTAGAGCCAATCGAGATCCGAAGTAGAGTGATGGTAACAAAATGTTGGGTCACCACTACCATATTATTCCCATGGAATAAAGAGGGCACGTGGAAATTTCTTTATCCAGAAACGTGGAAAAGGTGTGTATTAATAAACATTTTTCTGATATTTGAAAGTGTATTTTCAGAAAAACCAAAAAAAGTTTGACCAGTAAGAAATGTAACGAAGAACCCGGAGCCATGGAAGCAGGTCCTTTCACTTCAACATTTCCGCTAAAATCTCGAACACTTGAAAAAACAGAGTTGTACTTTTTCAAAGAAGAAAATACAAATTTAAATGAAACCCTACAACAGTGTGAAAAAAAACTATTGTTCCAAGATATTAGTGGGGCTCACTTTTTAGGGTAGCTGGGCTGTGGAAATCATACCACCAGAATATCTATTATGTACGTTGATGAAGTTTCGATTAAATTTAAAATATTTTAAGTGTTAGATTTACAGTTAGTAGGTAACATGAAAATGCAAAACATTATTGTCACATATTTATATGTGCTACTTGTAATGGGCCTTATGAGTAATATGACTAGTAGAGAGAAAAATTATCTTTTTAAATCGACATGCTTCAAAGACATCACAAATGGCAGAATTGTGCTGGATTGCACGGAAATTGAAGGTGCAATTCCGCATTCCTTTAAAAAAGCTTTATCTTCTGATTACAAGCAGTGCAGCAACAACTTTTGCGAGTAATTTATTTCCAGGATCATTACATTAGACAAAGTGGCGTCATGCCTCATCTGAGAGCATTCCACTGTATTGTTCAAACTTGTGCACCACTAGATTTTCAATATGAGAATTAAAAAAATGTTTACCATTGGCCACTGATTAAATAAATTAAAATTAAGGAATATGTACAAATAGTTTTATTTTATTTTCCATATGTGTAAATATCAATACATATTTAATTAAAAACTAAAATCACTTACTAAGAAAACTAACAGATAATACAATACTAACTGTTTTAATAATTTACCTAAAAGGTTACAAACATATTAAATTTGAATTGTTCTCCATTCTTACATCTATCGCAATTTAGGAGTCCACATGACAAAGATCTTTTCATCATAAGAACAAGTTCTTGTATTTAATGAAAAGCATGGTGTGACCTTTTCACATTTGAACTACCATCAAATATGAATTTTTGCTCATTCTTAATTCATTTAGTATTCTATGACCAAATGGATACTTTATTTCTGTAATCTACAACATTGCCATTATGACAGATTTACCATGTCCACTTTGGATTTCATCTTATGAATTCATTACGCTTTCTTCAGACACAGCGTTAATCCTGCGCGGTTCTATCTGAACGATTTGAAACATTTTCATGTAAATAAAAATAAGGTCCTCTTGAGAATCGCGCGATTACCGGCGTGTCGGAACAAGCACGCAAATAATAATTACTGCTATTTTCCATCGCAAACGCCAAAATTGACAAACGTGATTACCATGACATCCACTAGTATGGGTACTTGATAATTTTGAATTTTGTTTTATGAAAAATGCAAATAAAATCTGTTTGGGCCGTTGTAGATTAAATTTTGAATGATACAATATGAACATTATTAATGAAACCTGTGGAACTAAAACTATGTGGTTACACCTCGTGATTGTAACGTTACACGCGTTTCATTATGATGATTATATCGAACTTGTATCATTAATAACTAGTATCTGCTCCCACGAAGCCATAGCTAAAGCCATACCTAAAAAACCATTCCCACAAAGTCATATGCTGGTTAGAATTAGTTTTACGTTCATCATTTAACTCGCGAGTTTAACTCCCACTGTATCCACTTTTATTCCATCTAATTTCCTTTCCTTTAGTGCAGAGAAATCCAAGCCAGAATCCACTTTATTCCGTATAAATTCCTTTTTTTTTGGCGAAGAGGAATAGAAAGAAGCATGACATCTAAAAACAATTTTTCAATTGGTTTAGTAAAAAAAAGTGCTGTAATTTTCAGATAGGTACATTTATAATAATAAATTAATAATTTCCTGTGATCACAAAGCAAATAAACTTGCAATTTTAAATGTTTCAATTGGTGTGTAAATTTGGCAAAAAGATTTGTTCTTTCAAATGGTTTCTGCTGTATGAAGTAAGTATGAGAGATTTGGACGTATACTTTTGTGAAAATTGCTCGTGGCAATTTAACTCATATTATATCACAATTCGTTAAGCCACTTGTGAGTAAGAGGCGAAGAGTGCACTTCCAAATGTGTTCTTTTAATTATAATAGCCCTCGTGGACATTTCATACCTTAACGAGTATACGAACCGAGATACGAACATAATAATTTCTGATCGAATGACGCCAATACCAAGTCTGTAATTGGTGTAGTTTCGTAGCCTTGTGACTCAGACAGACAGACATAAGAAGCGCAAAAGTGCACTTTTTATTTTTTGAAAGTGAAAGTGCACTAAAAACCAGTGATACAGTATTTCATTTTGTAAGTAATCTTGAGTTTTTGATTGATTCTGGACTTTCTGTCCGTCCGTCTGTGTCACCGATAGGGAGCCACAGGACCACCACAGGAGCAGCTTCTATGGCAACCAAGTAGTAGCTTTAAAAACTCTTCATTACTTATCTCATTATCTACTATCCAGGAATAAGAATAAGTTTGTATTGTTGGCATTTCTAGATTAATAGGTATTGATTGACGTTTGTTAATTTAAAGGTTGACAGTTTCAAATCGTATCTCATCGGACAACCTCAACAGACTCCTTGACTCTGCAACTCACATACCCAGGCCATGTTCTTCACCATATTTATTTGCAATTAGCAGTTGGGTCTAAAGCCTCAGTCAGATAGGTGGTAGTACGGTGCCGTTGCCTTGTTGTGCAGTGCGGGTCGGAGCTGTCATGTTGACATTTGCATTCACAAATCACAATCACCGCAAAATTGGCCCGGCTACACAAGTATGAACAACCAACAACAACGGCAGCAGCAAATTAGCTTTGACAGATCGCCACGACAAATATGTTGCGCTTCCATTGGTGCTTGCTAAGCGTAGTGCAGAAAGTTTAAGGACTACCACCTATCTGCATGGGGCTAAGTGTTTCATACATTGCTTATTTAATTATTTAAATAGAATTTAAAAATTGTGTGGAAATTAATCTTACCTGTTTAGTGCTTTCAATCTCATCCTCTATTCGTGGCACCACATTGCACTTTCGGAAACAATTCCAACAGGGAAACTGTTGTTTCAATAGATGAGATTGTCTCTTTCCATACTGCATCAGTTTTTCTCACGATTTTACAGATATTGTTATTTGCATACAGTAAAATAGCGCAGATATGCTGTTACTAAATTACTTAATTGCCGCTTAGTACAATTCTTCTTCGTTTAAATTAACCTACAATAAAATGTTGAGTTACCAGCACTTATATCACACATTATTATATAAAACCTTATGCAAAGCATTATTCCCTTACCTCCACTTGCATTTCTTTTCATACTTCCTTCATTCTCTAAGCATTATTTGTTCATGTCCATTAAATTACACCCCAAGCACATTTCCACTAACTAGGTATATTCGCATTTACCAAACGCGGTACCTAATTTCTTCAGAAAATGCTCGAAAAGGTCGGACAAGTTTATTAACGCCATGTTACAAATAAGGTAAACAAACTCCCATCAGCTGTCTGGGGTCGGGATAAAACGTGAATGACGTCACACTTTCGTAATCGAATTAAGTCCAAAATTAAAATACGATGGCAGCACTATCCATAAACTTGTTTTTAGTAAGCGCCGCACGGAAAACTACGGCAAGTGAGATAGAAATATAGATGTCGCCTTAGAAAAAGAAAGAGGTCTTAAGGGTATCGCAATTTTATATACAGTTGCGCCTCTTTACTATTTTTCACTCAACGACTGCGCGTAACGTATCTAAGGTGTTGTCGACACAGTATGCAACACACAATGCACCGCGGGGCAAAAATCGCTGAGAGGATATGCAATATAATGGAAATAAGCTGTTATTTTAGATGTTCCGTTCATTAATCATTCTCGTGATTAGCTCGAATTAGTGAACAGATAAATTTCTGTTGAGAATAAACCAATAAACTTAGGTTAGCTTGTGCCTATCAACATGTACTCTGTCGATAAATTTTTAAATAATATGCTGATTTTCAACGGATAAAAGTTTAAAGGGCCAATGGATCAGAGCCATTCGAAGAGAAAAATTTACTCCCACCATAGTGCATTTGCGGGGAATGAAGCCGATTTTAGAAAGGTGTTAAACAATAATGCAATACCGAGCGTTTTCGACTTTCCCATTCACTTAAAATAACGTAGAACTATTATTCGACATCCTTTACCAGCAAGACAACGGCAATACCTATTTGCCTATTAGGTATAGACGTAACTAAGTACTTACTGGTACTAAATATATTTCAGGTTTTGTTACAAGAAAAATAGCTAAGTCTGTTAAATGTTCCATATGTGCAGATGCGATATTCGCATCAGAGAGTCACTCAAAGCTTTTAACTAGAAAAAATCGTGGAGGATTGTTGCACGTATCAAGCGATGCATTAAAAATTTGCCAAATTGCTGAAAATGTGTTCAGGTTTTTCAATCAATCCACACCACACCGCGTTGTAAACAAAATGGTTATCAGCAGTCTAAGAAAAATAAATAACAGTTACAGCCCATTTGGGTTTTTGGATAGGCATATATTGAATCAAAATCCGCTAAATAATCATATCTTACTACTTACATCTTTAGTTTTAAGAGTATATTTTCCGATACGTGTTCACCACCAAAATACACATATAAATCAAATTAGCACTAGAGTAAGGCAGTTATATACCAATTTAGTTCAAATAAAATACCAATAAATTCGATTAAAACAGTTAACAGCTATATGTTATCTTTTTTTGCTACTAAAATTTACAATAAACATGGCTAAAGCAAGCCGCAGAACGTACGTCTGCCCCGCGATGAACAGTTGGTTGCCTATCCTATCTTGACAACAGGCGTTTATAGTACTATCTACGTTACGCGCGGTCTAGTTATAACAAGTCTCTGACTACAGTGACTTTATAGAGACAGTGGCGACAATAGAAGCTTACCCGCCATTTTGCGTCAAAAATTCAAATTGGAAAATAGGCAACCCGCAATACACGTATGACATGTGTTGCGTATACTACAATACAATACTAAGGAGTAGCCAACTTAACTTACAGACGGTGGCGTTACTGTGAATTTCACAATTAGCAGTATATAAAACAACACAACAATCATCTTTATTCTGCCTCAAACAAGTTAGAGGCGCTTGGTTAAGTCTTTACAGTCACTTATTCACGTTGCACACATGACACAAATTATCCTTTAACGAGACTATCCCGGCTGTTCCATAAAAATGTCCCCCTCAAGCCTCCTATTTAGAAAATTTGCGGCCATGTTGTTAATTCTCCTGTACCATTCGTCCATTCCGCTTATTTGAGAGCACCAATTTTCAATTAATCACGGCACTGTTGCTTCCGAAATTGCTCGGTGGTTGATGCTTCCGTTTCGAAAGTGATAACTCTTTGGCAGATGGTGGTTTTTGATCGTTCACAGTCCGGGTTCCACATGAAATCTACCATCTTCCACCGCTCTCCCTAAATCGATGGTCCTGATTCCAAACCGATTATCAAATTGACCGACATCCACCGCTTCTGAAAACCGTCCATTCAATTAAACGTTTTCCCACCAATTTCCGCCTCGTCAACACCATCTCTTCGCAGGACCCAACTCATATAAAATGTTGGATGAGCCATTGCGCTGCGATTCGTCGAACATGGCATCGCGTTTCACACCAATTCCTTAGGATTTTCTAGGTTCCCCCACATTCGTTTCCAGCTACTTTTCGATGCCTTTGTCCTCCAATACAAATTGCACGCGGAAATACAATTAGGTACTGAATTCACGGCTATCGAAACACAAATTTTTCATCCCCAGACGCTGCCATTTGACTGCAGAAGTCGCTAATGTCAGGCTGTCATCTGTCATGATACTTTTTATAGGATTATCATGGCACCAGTACATCAAATTTGTCAATCAGTGACGTTTTTAGAAGCGCGGGAATGCGCGTGAGCATATCTATTAGCGGAAACACAGCTTAAATAGTAAGTAAGCTGTGAAATTTGTCGCAAAATGGCTGCCGATCTCAACCACCAATCAAAAATTAGACACTATTGTTGCCAGTGTTTCTATAAAGCCACTGTATGGTCTACATGGTCTACGAGCAAGCGACGCCATCTAGGACCGACACTGTCACACATAAGATTCGGTTACGCCAGGACCCCCATTCCAAATCCATCCGTCAGAATACAGTTCACCTATCGTCGGGATAACAAAGATAGTCAGCAAGCCTAAAATATAATAAAGGAAAAATAAAACCTAGATTTTGCGTAGATTACCGACGCCTTAACGCCATAACCAAAGATTGTTTGAGACCGCAAGGGTATTCTCAGTGATCACCCTCAAATCCAACTAAGTACAGGCAAGTGCGTTTGGAAGAAGAGTCAAGATTTTCAATTTCCAGACGACGGCGCCTCCTACCAGGGTGATTGCCTTCGGGGTAAAAATTCTCCAGCGACCTTCCAAAAATTAATGACATTAATTATGAAATTAATGGCGGGATTAGTCTACTTAGAAGATATCGTTACCTACCTATTCCCACAATTCCATCATCTGCCATTCTGCTATAGTCAGCTCTCTGTTTATAAATATAGCTATTTACTAATGAATTCCAACCATATTTATTTTACGAATGTATTGATCAACAAGCGGAGACAAATCCATAAACAAATAAAATTATAAAATATTGGAAAAACTAAGTTGAAAAATTCAAATTTCGTACTATTTCGCCTTATAACGCAAATGAGGCTGCGAGAGAACAAAAATAATAAAGAGAATGAAAATAAACTTCATAACTTATCTCCGAAATTAGGGTTATAATGTAAACTGGCTTTGTTTTCAAGTGTTCCAAATTCCCAACACGCTTTTGTTGTTATCCTGGAACCGAAAGAATTTTCATTTCTTACTTGTAAACAATACGCATTCGTCTGAATGGTGAACGCTTAAAACGTTATTGCGGAATCGATTTGTAATTTAGGCCGTTTATATAAAGGAAAAGCCATATAAATTAATTTTCACTTCATTTCTCATTTCCTTGCATTGAATGGAAATAAGTATTTCACATACTTGAAAACAACTTTATTTAGGGAGATTTATCAAAATATCTTGGACGGATGTGTAATTTGTAATTCATACCCTAGAAGCAGAGGCACTATTCCCGAGTCATTTGTTTGAAGCGGCGCTGCTAAAAGTGTGGAAAAGTTTTTAACGATTTTACGCATTATGAAATTCTAAATTAGTCGCTTTATTGGGCTACAAACATTTTTTGTAAAGAAAATGAAGCCATTCTAAGAAGTTTTTATTTTCATTAACTTATACTACACAGTTAATACAAAGAATAAATATATCTGTACTAAAACGGAATTTCTTGTACCTACCTAAATGATACAAGCTGCATACTATGCATCTTGTTACTTGTATCGTTTACAGTATTGTTAGAATGAAGCTGATGAAATTAATGTAACTTAAAGGGAGCGTCAAGAATCTTTTATGAAGTAATCAAGTAGTTAAAGCTTTAATTATGAATTTGTGGTCGTCATTTACCCGTGTTCAACCCGAAGACGTGTTACTTTGGGAATCTGGATTATCGGTCGGTCCACCTCCTCCTCCGGGTGATTCGGTTGTGGTCGTTGATGACGGTCGACCGTAGAGATAACTTGTTCCTCTGTAACCTGTGTCGTAGGGATCCCGAGGCTTGTATGAACCGCTTGAAAAGCTGTAAGTGCCAGAAGAGATCTGAGTTAATTGTCTAATAAAATTAGTACATATATAGTTTTCATTACAAAGAGAAACGCAAAGCACCAATGATGTCAATTTATGTCATTATTTTCCAATAATAAGTTCAGCTCTGTAATTACCGACTTTTTCTATTATTTTTGGGTACCAAACTAGTATTCAACTTGGCAATGAGTGATATCTTACCATCGTATTCTAATTAAAATTGTGTGTGGTAAAAAACATATCCCCAAAAATTAACCAAAACAAAATCACCCGAACAAGTTAATTTTCATTGAAGTGGGGCTAAATTTAACAATTATTCTCCTTGCTTCATCGTGTTTAACGTCATTTACATTACTGAAACAAAATTACAAAACGCGTTTCAAAGTGTATTACCAAGCAATTGCGGCCTGCCTTCTTGCAACTACGACTACTAATCATAATGAACTTATCCGTGCGAATGTGGAATGTCTATAGCGCATTTTCCTCCTTTCCTCCTCCGGCTTCCTCTATCACCCCCCGTTACAATGCAGGCAATTCAAAAGGGAAATAGTACAGGAAACAGTTACATAGCATTGCGATTCTTGTATTTGGTTGTAACTTCTTACCTCGCTTCACACTCGCGTACCTTTATTGAGCAAAGATCATACTACACTGATCTTTGATATGAGAGACAAATTGTACCATTTAGCACGTTCATCAAAAATGAAAATTCTCTATAACTAGTGACTTATCCGCTCGTTTGTCAGTACGTTTA